AGAGAGAGAGAGAGAGAGAGAGAGAGAGAGAGAGAGAGAGAGAGAGAGAGAGAGAGAGAGAGAGAGAGAGAGGAAAGAGGTGGTTTTCAAGAGGTGTAGAAAAACACGTACTGGTTACCACAACCAGCAGACTGCGTTTGATCGTCGAGAGCGAAATCTTCATCAGGATACCCAGTTTCAGGCACACCAATCTGCTCTGGCATTCCGTCTTCTTCGAATATGTCGACAAACTCCTCTACATGTTCAGGATGATTTCCTGTCTGGGGCTTACATTCATCCTCTCGCAGTTTATCGACCTTCTGATTCTGCTCTTGAGCTGCTGTCATTGCTTCCATGCTGACTTGAGATGTGACTTCGACTTTCCGATTCTCGACCCCACTGCAACTGTACACCACCATAGAATCCAAGTTGTAACCAGGTCAGCACTGTCTACTTATTTATGGGCACGCTCTTGTTGCTCACGTCTCTTTCCATTTTGGCGTTTTCGCCAATGTATTTGACCCTACCTACGTACAGAGGTGAGCACCTACATCCACCCTACCACACTGGGACTGTTCATTCTTGGTTATAAGGTTGATTTCCTTGACATCAAAAAAATGAAAACAAGGGTTTAACAGTGATTAACACCTGGCAGGTGCAAAACAAAAATACGGATTGAACGGATTCTATAAACGCCAAAAAACAGCCTGAATAGAAGAAAAAAAATGACCATAAATTACCCAGCAGAATGTTGTTCATAAGAAACCATTGCACTCCATACTACCCGTAGGGCCGTAACTGACACTGAACCGGGGGGAAAAAAGAACGGGGAAAAGAATGCAACCCATGATAAGTTAACCCATCACTAAACACCAAAGCAATCCTATTTTTAGTTCTCATTTGTTCAGGGTTCCTTACCATTCTGACATTTACTTTTTCCACAAAGTTTTTTATCCTTCTCGTACTCTCTAGCAAAATACGGCGCTTAACAAAAATGGACCTGTTCGCAAGAATAAACAGAGTTTTGATACAGATCAACGTGTGTAACCTCAGTAACCTCACCCATGCAGAGAGTGGGAAAACAGTCCATGTGCTGCATACAACAGGTAAAATATGCGACCAACTGGCGGTAGTGACTTTTCTGGTGCAGAGAAGGGGAAGGGGATACTCTCCAAGATCTCTTCCATTCTTTATGACATGTCAAGGGACCTTCCTGAGGTGGTTGATGCCATAGTACCTGCTCATGGCATCAGACCCTCCTTAGGGTTCCCCTCCTCGTTGAGGTGTGGCTTTGGCAAGTTCTCCTTAGGATTCCCCTCCTCGTTGAGGTGTGGCTTTGGTCATTTGTTCCCTTCATCTTGTGACGTAATTGGCAGAGCTGTGATCAGGCCAGTGATGTCCATTTCCTTTTTTTTTTCTTTTTTTTTTTTAATTTGGACCATTTCTCGATTTATGCGTGTCATTCTTGCGCAGGGGCCATGCTAATCTTCTCTGTATCGTTCCAATTTTAACGGATGTCCCGAAGGACAGTGATGTCCATTTCCTTTGCTTGGCCTTTTTGGAATTTCATTTTTCAAGGGATGCTGGGTACAGTTCTCTCCAATGATAGCGAAGCCATATTTTTGAAAGCACGTGGGGAAGAGGGAAGAGCGGCAGGGGTAACGAGAATCATTTCTCTCTAAATCTTTCATTTTTTTCTACATCTCTTTCACAGATATTTATAATCGGGAAGAGCGGCAGGCGTAACGAGAATCATTTCAGTCTAAATCTTTCATTTTTTTCTACATGTCTTTCGCAGATATTTATAATCGGGAAGAGCGGCAGGGGTAATGAGAACCGTTTCTGTGTAAATACTAAATCTTTCCTTTTTTTTCTACATCTCTTTCGCAGATATTTATAATCTGTGATCTCTCATAATTTTTCTGGTTGGCACAGAAACTGGGATGCAGTGATGAGATACTACGGGTCAAGTTCGAGCACTTGCCAAATGGAAAACAATCTCTGTGCCTCCATCCACTTTCCATTTTCACATTGGATATGTGAGGACCAAGACCCATTTGTCTACCTCCAAAATTTTCACCGTTTTGGTAAGTGGTCCACCGAGGCACATGCCTATGTCCAGCCTCCAGTTGCATCCAGGACGCCAAAAGGATGTGTGCATGGAGGAAGCATGGCCCTTTCCACCACCCTCCAAACGTAAAAACGGCGTGTATCCCCCCCCAAAAGAGGCCCAAAGATACAGTCAGCATTTTCACTTTTGCCAAGTGTGGGAAGGAGGCCGTATGTGTCCACCGCGAGCTGCTTCTCCCCAAGAGGACGCACAACCACCAGTACCCCGAAAGTTGCAGCCGTAGACGAGCCGTAACGTGCTCGGATGAATGGGCCTGGACTGGAGTGCCCAACTTCATCCGAGTCAAAACGATTCTCCTCTATTTTTTCCAGTGGGCCATGTACCCATACATGGCCGGGGTACTGGTATGCGCGGCCCTCATCTCTCCAGCCAAGAATTCGCTACAGTACTGACTGGAGGAGACTTCGGACAGACGGCCCTCTGATTCTGTTTCGCCCCTGGGATGACGGCTTGGTTGCAGTGGGCCGTCTGATTCTGTTTCTCACATGGGATGACGGCTTGGTTGCAGTGTCGTTGCAGCGACTTTTTCTTAAGAGTCCTGAAATCAGTGGGCAGTGGAGCTTTTGTTTTCCAAGGGTTGTGGACTGTCAGAGCAGCGTTCTTGTATTGGCCACTTCTTTACCTAGATGGGTAATGATCCCAGTACATTGTTTTCAGGGTTGTTTGTTGAGGAATTCCCGGCCTCCCCCTTTTTGTCTGTGGCAGAGTCTTTTTGTTATTAAAAAAAAAAACACTAGTTATAACGATGTTTGTGCTGTTCTTAATTTAAGACAGTGTTACGATCCTAGCCAATTTCGAAGTGGACATTCACGAGAAAGTACAATGCCATCCAACAGTAAAAGAAATGAATGAGCTTGAGAGGAGAGAGAGGGAAAGAAGAAGAAGAAGAAGAAGAAGAAGAAGAAGGAAGAAAGAAGAAAGAAGAAGACGACGACGTACACCAGCAAAAGACCAATGATAATTCCCCCTTCTTGCCAACCAACTCCTCCTCTCTTATTCAAACAATAAATAATAATAATAATAATAATAATGAATGGCTGGACCAGAATCAATGTCTGAATCCCTCTTCTACTGCCAGCACAACAAGAGGTCCACCATAGCCATGACCGCCCTCCTCTTCCCTCTTCATCCAGTCCGAGGACAACGCAAAGCAGCTATGGCCCCTTCCTCTCAGGCCGCCATGCCTGGCCCTGCCTCGAAGCTTCTTGATGTAGCACTACCCCAACAGGGGCGTTCCAGATGCAGCGCCTACCAAGGTGACAAAGATGGCATCCACCACAGCCAGGTAAGTACCCCTGGCAGTCCCCTCTCCTAGTCCCCTTCTTCCTCCTCGTCCTCCCCGAGCTCCTCCACCATAGCCAAGGTGGAGAGCTCGACGCTCTTCCCGACAGCACTGCTCTACACCAGCGCTGCTTCCAACCAGCGCTCCAGCAGCGTGAAACCAAACTTGCACGCAGCAAAATGAGGAGCTCCTTGCTACTCCTGGAGATATAGCGGCCAACCTGCCTCTTGGGCAGTCACTTCCAGGCCACACGGCCTCCAAGCAACATGTACCTCCTCCCTTTCAGAGGGAAACGTCATTGCAGACTCAGATATCTACCGCTACTGGAGTGGTACCGGCCTACCTGCTACTCAAGTACCTACAGCTTACACTACCGCTACTCGAGTGTGCCCTAAGCTACCCCTTTGGCCACTTGAGTGTTTTTCCCTGCTGCAACCCCAAAGTCACGGCCACGCGGGACAGACACACACTCAGGCCCACAAGCACTCAGACAGGCTCGCAGACCAGCAAGCACGCACACATGCAAGCTTAGAAAACTCAGCAAAAAGCGGGAGTCTCAGCAAGGCATTCATTCCAGCCGCAAAAGTCAGAAATCAGCTGTGTTCTCAGTCCGTGTTTTGGCAGGTCCTTACAAAAGGGAAAAGTCTCCACTTTAAGACAGTGGAGCCCAACTGTTACATGCCCAGATGGGCGATGTACATAATAACCGAGGATCCGCAATGTGATAAAAAGGACTGAATGGACAATGCAGTGCAAGTAGAATCACAATAAGCAATGTGCATTCTGATACATACAAAATGGTGCTGAATAGCGCAGGGAAGACTTAGATACAAATCCTGACCTGACCGGGACTGACCTCATTCACGTAGTACAAGATAGCGAAGCAGAATGCTAGGATTCTAATGACTAGCCCAATCAATGTTTAACGCAGACCAAACATACATCATACTCTTCACAAGGTGTGAAGGAGCCTGGCGATATACACAGGAAGAAAGTGCCAGGTCCAGACATGCACAGACGAAGAGGAGGGGATCAGACGAAGAGGAGGGGGAGAGATGGGAATGTCGTCAACACCAAGTCTTTGCCACAAGTCCCAAATAATCCCTCATCGAAATGTATGAAGCCCAAAGTCGAGTCTGGATCCAATGTCACCAAGCTCTCTCTTCTCTCGTAGTCTGCTGATGCAGTGAAGTCAGATATTGAGAGGGTGAGAGGGAGATGGTGGACTGAGAAGAGGAAGAAGAAGAACTCTCTCTCTGTCACGAGCCAGGTACTAACCTGTGAAGTCGGCGCTGTGCTGCAGGTACCTCGAAGACGAAGCTGGAGCAACGGCGCTGCAGGTAGGTAGGTACCTCTGGCCTCCGCCCAATCTCTCTCTCTCTCCAGTGCTATCCTAGCTATGGCGCCCAGCACTGAAGACTACAGCTACCTACTGGCGCCCAGTGCTGAAGACTAATGCTAATGCTACTACTAGTCCTGCAGCGCTCCCTCCAGAGTGCTGCTGCCGAATCCTGAAGACTACCGCCTCCTGCATGCCCGTGAAGTGCATGGGGAGTCCCTATGTACTACCTCCCTGCCTGTAGGGCGGGCCAGTCTTATATAGTGCTGGCCCGTCCAGGAGGATGCTCTTGCCAATGCCCAAACGTGCTAGACCCTGAGGAAGCTTCCGGGAAGTTTCCAGGTAGCTTCTGGGTAAAGCCTGAGGGCCTATAGGCCCTTGTTTTCAGGCTGTCAGGCTAAAACAACACGGGGCCTGTAGGCCCTGGTTTTCAGGCTGTCAGGCTGAAACAGACACGGGGCCTGTAGGCCCTGGTTTTCAGGCTGTCAGGCTGAAACAGACACGGGGCCTGTAAGCCCTCGTTTTCAGGCTTTCAGGCTGAAAATGACACGGGCCTGAAAATGGCCCATGCAGCCTGTTGCAGGCGTAGCATGTAACACCAGCCCTAATATTGCCCACTATCAGATAAAGCAGAAAAAAAAAACAAGAAATGG